CCTCGTTGGTCTATGCAATAAGATAATGGTCAATTTAGTTTTGCTTGCAGTAGTTGCAGATTGGACATTGATTTGCTTGGTGACTTAAACCGGCGTTTCTGCTCTCCAGACTAAAATGACTTGTGGAATATAAACCGGATTCGGTTTTAAGTTCTTTGTTTATCTTTGCGATCATTCGGAAAGTTGTTCCTACAGGCTTACATGGATTATGAATTCTCCTAGGCTTTGGCATGGGTTTTAAAGCAATTCTTCTATTCTTTAGATTCTGAATTGTCCTTTCCCTTCCAGTCTATCCTCCATTTTCTCTTCCAGAATATCAATAAGATCGTTACCATTTAATCAGTGGAGGAAGCGTGAGTGAATGAGTATAAATTTGTTATCCAAAAACAAAAGGGATGACTTGTATTCTTTTATTTTAGAGGTTGAGTGGAAATTTGGAAAAGTAAAAGGTCCGAGAAAGAAATACGAGGAATACGGGGGCATAACTATAAAAGACAAAGTTTCACTCCGAAGTGCCATTGCAGTGTCTCTAGCCAGATCAGATTAGAACTTAGACCGCTTCGGCACGTGTGGTGTGCACGCTTGGTCCGCATGAGTTTCAACGGTCCAGATACAAATTGGCGCAAATAGACAACGATCAGACTGTTTACGTTAAAAAATTAATAATAGAGTCGTATATATTGCTGTACTCAGCGTGACAGGTTATCTAGACCGTAATTTAATCAGGAGCCCTACCTTCCCTCAAATTCAAAACCCTAATTTACGAACTTCAGCCTTTGTGCTTCGGTGCGATCCCCAATTTCATCGGAGGTAAGCTCTCGTCTACCACCTGAGAACCATAGCAACCTTAAGTTTCATCCCCATGTCGAGTTGAATTTGTATTTTCATGCTTGTTTCCGGATTCATGTTGACTGAGCACTATGCTGTACCGGGTTTAGTTTGATTATTTTGTGTAATCGTTTAGCATCCTAAGAGATAATTGTAAGATTTGAATTCCTTATTTATTTTCTTTTGACTGTCTTGTCTATGCGAACAGGATCCTTCATGATTTCTGTTATTTTCTTTTGCCTTAATTGTTTTTTTTTTTTTTTTTGTAGGGGATATAATTTACAGTACTCAGGAAAATGAGCAGCCGTAGTACAAGCAGAACTCTCTATGTTGGGAATCTGCCTGGTGATATACGCGAGAGAGAGGTCGAAGATTTGTTTTTGAAGGTAATTCAAATTTTTTTTTTTGCTTGAATTGATGCCAACATTAATGCTATGCGATTTTGCGATGAAGTTGTTATTTGGAATGCATTTGTTTATGCTTGCACATGTAAACATTGGGAAAAAAAAAGAATTTTGAAATTGGGATACAACAGATGTGTCTTTTTTTTTTTCTTTCCCAAAACCTGTTTAATCTTGTATTATGTTTCTTCGGTGTGAACAATTGTGTTCTATGGTAGTGGAGTGGCAGGTGTTGGATGGATGGGTATAGAGTACCCTAAAGAATAAGGAAGGTGTACCCTAAAGAATAAGGAAGGCTTACAGACTGACTGAAGTTTCTAATTTTCTTTGCAGTATGGACGCATAGCCCATATTGACTTGAAGGTTCCCCCAAGGCCTCCTGGTTATGCATTTGTTGAGGTGAGAGCCCACAGCTGCTTAATTTAATTTTATGTTTGTATGTTTCCTTTATAATATGTTTGAACAAGTTTTTTTTTACAGTTTGAAGATGCTCGTGATGCTGAAGATGCACTTCGTGGTCGCGATGGCTATGATTTTGATGGTCATCGTTTACGGGTACACTATTATGCTTACATGCCATATGGTAGATATGGTAGATGTGGTACTTTTCCTAGACATAATATTCTAATGTATATCTCTGTAGGTTGAACTTGCACATGGAGGGCGTGGACATTCATCTTCGTCAGATCGTCATAGTAATTATAGTGGTGGTCGAGGTGGGCGTGGGATGTCCAGGCGCTCAGATTTTCGTGGTTTGTATTTCACTTGTTACACTTTGTGCTCTTTTATATGGTAGGATGCATTTGATATGTTTCTAAACCTGTTCCATCCACAGTGTTAGTCAGTGGACTACCCTCTTCTGCTTCATGGCAAGATCTTAAGGTGTGTGTATTTATCAATTGGAGATATTTTTATTATAACTGTATTTCTGTGTGAGGGAACTTTTCACTGCATGTCTGACACATACGATGTATTTTTATTCAGGATCACATGCGACGGGCTGGAGATGTCTGTTTCTCCCAAGTTTTTCGTGATGGTAGTGGTAAGATGCTCTTCATGCTTCAAGTGTGTTTCTTGGTGGTATATTGTGGAAAATTTAGTAATAGAAACATTTATTGTGATCTTTTTCTTCCTTGGTCACTTAAAGTTCTTTTGTCCTAGGTGGTGCTAATAGAATTTATTAAATTGACTGGTTAATGCTAATAGTGCTTCTCAGCCGAATTTCGCACTGTCTTTGGATTTTCTCTGCTCTTTGATTGTGTTGTTGTTTCCAAATTTGTATTCTTAAGACCTACTTCACAAGACATTAGAATAGCAATTGTTTTAGCTTTCTGTCCCATGATTGTTTTATAGGCACAACAGGGATTGTGGATTACACTAACTTTGACGACATGAAGTATGCGGTAAGTCTTGCTTTTACTTTCTCACTCCAAACGTTTATATTGTGGATAACATTTGATGGAGTATGGGTGCTTGGTTTCCTTTTTATCAACACATGCATGTGTCTAAAGTTTCTACTTACTACATAGATTGTAATCTTAAACTTCATTGATTTTTTTCTGCAGATCAAAAAGCTTGATGGCTCTGAGTTCCGGAATGCCTTTTCTCGCTCTTCTGTTCGTGTATGCATCTTACCAATTTGAAAAATGTACTCTCCTTTCCTCCTGTATTTGTCTTTTGTTAAAGATGCTCATTGTCTCATTTTCTTACAGGTGAGGGAGTATGATTCGAAGCGGGACTCATCTAGGAGCCCTAGTCGTGGTAGATCTCATTCAAGAGGCAGGAGCTACAGTCGTAGTCGAAGTTATAGCAGGAGCAGAAGCCGGAGGTTTGACCATTTTCAATAACTCAACTTAGTACATATGGGGAATAAACATTTCTATATTGCGTTCTTACTTTTTCACTTGTTTTGCAGCAAGTCTCCCAAAACCAAATCTTCACGCCGCTCGCCTGCTAGATCTCGATCAAGGTCTGCTTCTCCGCCTCGCTCGCGATCAAGATCTCGCTCTCCGTTAGGGTATGTGTTATTTTTCACAATTATTCATTATACTATTTGTTTGTTGGCATTCATGCCGGCTGGGTTTTCATTGGTCCATGAGGTGAACACTGATGGACACAATAATATTTTTTGCCAGTCGAATTGTGACATCTGCGTTGTAACATTTTCTAGTTGTGCTATTAAATTTCTGAGTTGTAGAAATTTAACTAATTGTTGTGTTGACAGATGTAAGTACTGACTGAGATTAACTGGGTCGTTGGATGTGATATATGTCTAAAGATTAGTGGTGTGCTATTTTGCTTAGATTAAATGTCTTCTTGCTGTCGTGTAGTATGAATTATGTCCTTTGTGTTGAAATATTTTCTGTTGCTTCATTCCATTATTTGCTTGGTCAGCAGTGGGGTTTACTAAGAAAGAGTCAGATATCCACCTAGTTTTCATTTTCTTTTCTCTTTTTTGCTTGCATGAAAATTACCTTTGTTTTTCTTTTAGATATGGATATATGCGGCGAACTGGGGATTGGATATTAGGACTTGATTGGATATGGTCAATTGCTTACAACTCTTTTTCTGTGGAGGTATGCTGTTTTTTAGATAGGCAGCTTTGGAAACCTTCATGGTACCTCTGTTCTAATGCTTTTAGCATTGTAATGGGTGCTAGATTGGGAACAATGGAGGTCTTGGATTGCACTAGTAAAGCTGGATATCTGTGAACTAAGTGCCATTGGGATTTGGAAGTCATCATCAATGAGCATTTGATTTTCATTTCCTGCTCCAACATTTTGCCAAGCTAATAGGGCGCACTATCTGGATATCCTGGATTCTTGTGTTACAGTAGGGAAGAATGCTCCTCTTGTTTCCACTGGTGTCTAATAATAATCATAATGTATTTTTTTTCATATATATTTTTGCCTCTGATTTTGTTCTGTTTTGGCGGGGATTACATTAATTGTTTTATTCTGTTTTTCTTCTTTCTATTCATATGCTGAGTGTTTAAACCTTTTTCTTCTATCCTTATTGGATATGGTAACTTCACATGGAAGAGGCATCAAGGACCTTGGACCAAATTGGTAAAAGGAACATGGTTATTAAATTGGGTTGTTTCTGGAACTTTTGCAGATCACGATCAAGAAGCAGATCTCCACTGCCTTCGGTAAGTGTTACCTTTTATTCTTTTGAATAATTTTGCAATATCTTTTGACTCACCCAGTTTTATAAGGACATGATATTGCGACAGTTGAAGCATAATTAAGCCTCACTTATGATGTTTCTTTTCTTCTTTTACATGACAGCGACAAAGTCTAATGTTTATTTGATTTCTCCTTGACTAATGGATGGCCTCCCTGGATTTTTTTAACATTGGATTCGTATAATACCTACAACTGGATTGGTCACGGTTCCTCCCTGCCTTTCATAATTTTTTTTCTTTGGCATAATCAGAAACACACAAGTAAAAGCCCGAAGAAACACATAAGTAAAAGTCCAAAGAAGCGTAGTGCTAGCCGGAGTCCAAGCCGGAGCCGGAGCAGGAGCAGGAGTTTGTCACGGTATTCTTGAGCATTATATCTACTTTGAGTAGTGTCATCATTGGGCACTGTCTTTTTCTCCTCCGACTACATTTCCCGTGAATCGCTCTTGCTTTGTGATTAATATGCAAACATTCCTTCTAGATTGTGATTGCAATATTTCTGTTTGACAGGTGATACTTGACCCCTTACCTGAAGCTACCAGGAGGAGGGAGCTTCACTATGGTTGTTAAAGCAGTGGAAGTGGGACGCCTTTTATTTATCCGACTTTTAAGTTTATGGATGGATTCATTTTGCAAGCCATTGTGTTGGTTGCATTCTTCTTTAACTGAAACAGATGTTTTACCATCTTCGCACCTTGTAATGAATATGAGATTTTTGCTATGTTGCTGTTGGAAGTTTCGGAGTATGTTTTCTTGCTGCTTTGTTTACTTTCCCCCTAGTTAACTTATATATAATATCATGCGTTGATGCTGAATCGGGATGCCATTTGAAACTTGGTGCTTGCTTTGGGTTGCCGTTTAGATTTTAGATTATTACACCGGGATTTTGTTTTCGATGGCGTTCGTTCATTTTATTGTTCTCTTTTCATCACCAATTGACACGCTTGACAAGTAGTCGTTTTCTCCAAAAAAGTGAACTGAGCAGCTAGCTAGGTAATCAAGCAAGGATAAGGAAGAAAGGAAAAGAAACCGTGAATGAACGTAGAAAAAGCAAGGCCGGTCCACATCCATTCAAGATCAAGACCACCCCCTCCTATTGCTATTATTATTATTTCTTTATTTCGCCTGGAAACTGGGGAGATAAGAAACACTGTATGCAAGGACAAGGTGATGAGAAATGCAAACACCAATCTACAAAGAAAGTAGAGATTGTACGGGCCATGTTCGATCTTATGCCACTCATTATTTTGTCTAGCGTGAGTGAACCAACCATGTTCTTTTTTGTGGACTCAAATTTCCCGAATCCAACGACCACATTCCACAAAATCCAATGAAAATCAATATTTATAAATGTTCAAATCCATATCCCTATCTTTCGAAAATAAAAAATAAAAAAATTGAGTGTTTTAATTAAGAGTAATTATCTATGCATTCGGGATTTGATGTTCAAATTCTCTTCTTTAGTTGAGCTATCGCTTGCTTTTTTTTATTCTTTTTTTTTAAAAACCAAGTTTAATGCTACTACTGTTCTTTTTAATGTTGGAAGAAATATCAAGATAGATTCTTCATATTAAAAAAGAATTAATGTTTTGACTACATTGTTAAGGTCAGAATGCGAACATCATATGATAAGTGAGGGGAGGAGAGCCTGTTGTTTTTCCCCTAATCAGTGGTCGAAAGGCTCACGATTCATGAGAGGATTGGGGGGCCCTAACAAAAATAAGTGTGACAAAATCACAAAAAAAACAGACAAATTTTTGTACCTTCAAAGCAAGAAAGAGAGGGGCAAGAACTGAAAAAGGAATCAAATAGCTGGTAAGAGTCCCCCACCACAGCCACACCCATCTCACCGCCATCGGATTCCCACCCACCCAACAACAAAAACAATCAACTCTCTCTCACTTTGGCCCTTCCTTTTTAAACAAACATTCGCCGCACTCTCCTTCTCACTCTCATACTTCCTTCCCGGTCTCTCTTCCAATTCCATTCGCTAGAAAAAAACCAGAAAAACAAACACCAAACAAATAGAAATTCCGTTAAGTTACCACCCAAAAGACAAAAATACGCAATTCCTGCATTTTCCTTTCTCCTAGGACAAATTAACATGGCCGGACCCCTCTTCTCCCAGCTCTCCGACGACGTCGTTCTCAAGATTCTCTTCAAGCTCGAAGAGGACCCGCGAAACTGGGCCAGGCTCGCCTGCTCTTGCACCAAGTTCTCGTCTTTGATTCGCAACGTTTGCTGCAAGACCAAGTGCTCCGAAGTCATCCCTTCCGTCGTCTCCGATCTCCTCTCTGGCTCATCTGCGCCACCGGGCGGTTGGGCCGCGCTTCACAAGCTCGCCGTGTGCTGCCCCGGTCTCCTCCACTCCGGTGTTCTCTTTGAGAACTCCGATTTCGGCCTCGAACGTGAGGTTGGCCCCGATGAGAATTATCGGAGATTGGATTCGCCTCCAGCCGCCAAGCCCCAAACCGAGCCTTCGTCGAGCCAAATTGGTGCGAATCATGAAGTGGGTGCTTCAGGGCCTAATTGTTCTTGGTCTCTCTTCGATGATCTTTATTTCGATACGGTGTATGATGATTCTGAAGCCCAAGTAGAAGCAGCAGAGGATCAGGCTAGTGTTGAGAAAGGTGGTGTTAGAGTGGGCGGTGAATTTTCTATATGTAAGAAGAGGAAGGTTTGTAGGCCGATGAGGTCGCATTTAGCTTCTGGGGTTTGGAATTTGAGCCGTGAACAGGGCAATAAGCTTCTTCACAGTCGGTTCCGTGGTGATTGCTTATACATATGTGATTGGCCTTTCTGTGTTCACATCGAAGAGAAGCGGAATTACATGCTTTTCAGAGGGATTTTCAAGGATTTCAAGGGGTCTCAAGTGTGGAGGACCATAAGGGATGGGAATAGGAGCAAGATTGATCTGAATTGTGCGTTTTGCTCCTGTAAAGAAACTTGGGATTTGCATTCTGCCTTCTGTTTGAGGCGGGTTTTCGGTTACCATGACGATGGTGAGCCGGTTGTTCGAGCTTATGTCTGTGAAAATGGGCATGTCTCAGGGGCTTGGACTGACTTGCCATTGTACTCTTAATGGCATTTGCTTTGTTCTCAGTTCGTGGAGGGTTTTCTAGTTCTTTCATTTATCATTGAAGTGTCTCTTATGCGTATAGGAATTGAGGAATTGAGAGAGGAATGTGTTTATTTCCAATGTATGTCAGTTTCTGAGGAGCATTATGTTGTTGTTGCTGTCATTGGTGTGTCCTTCAAACCTGCTTTGTTTTATTGTTGTTATTTGTGTTTCAATAAGAAATTTGTAATTTGAATGAGATGCTTCATTTTAAGATCGTCTTTGCGATGAATGCGATGCTTTCATTTTGTTAAGATCCTAAGTTCTGTTGTTGTTTTAGATGGTTGGTAAGAAATTTTGAGTTGAATGCGATGCTTTCATTTTGATAAGAAACTTTGGTTAGCTTGTAATTGCTTCGTCTCTTGCCCTTCATAATTTCAACAAGCCAGTTCTCCAGGAATAGCTTTGGTTCTGTCATGCGTGTTGGAAAACGTTTTCCAATTTCAAGCTTTAGAATAGAAAGTAGCCCTCTGTTCCCTAATGATGATGTTTGCTGGAATCAGAAAGATGCAACTTTGATCTCCAAAATCATGGATCATCATCCGACTAGAAAAGCCGATTCAAGTGTCATTTATATGCTAGTTCATTGGAACAGCGGCATTGTTTAGATTTGAAGTCGGATTTCATAATTCGAACAAATACAAAGTGCTTTTACCATCAGAAACAAGCAGAAGTCTGGAAAGTAAACAGATATGTTGATAAACCAAAACTACATAACATGCATGTCAGCAACATATTTCCCAAGTGAAACGACATTTCTTCGGCTGACACAGCAGCTAGCTAGTGCTGCAGCAGCATATGTGTTGGCTTATTTGAAGCAGGCAGCTAAGGCAAGGTAGCTGGAGTGGTAGGTGGGTAGCTTCAATTTTTGATTTTGGGCCTCTTCACAATGATCACGGTGCAGCGAGCATGATGCGCACAATAATCACTTACACTGCCTAAAACAGCCCTGCAAGTTACAACAACAGAATATGCCAATGACTTCCCTTGTGATAATACCTTCACCATTAACATCGAAATGTGAAAATTCATTAACTCCGAAATGCGAAAACTTATTTGCGAAAATGAATATTAGTAGTTTTTGGTTTTGCTAATGAATTTTCACATTTCAGATTGGACTGAAGTTTGTTCGAGCTTCTGTCTTCTAATTTTCTACTTCATGGTACGTCTATCTTTTATGACATCTACAAATCCAACACAGTTTATGCAGGATACTTGAAAACCAATGACTTCAGCTTCTCTACAGTGTGGGTTTTGCAAGTTGATCATGTAATAATTCATTCCTATTGATCAGTTAAGAACCATGCAGATTTGGATTATGTGCAACAGAGAATCTTATGTTACTTATCAAATGTGTGTGTCATCCTTGCTACTTTGCTACATAAGTGTTTCAATTCTTAAAATCCTTGCCGCATTGCTCACCTTGTTGTGGTTTTGCTTTTACCTTTTCTTCCTTCTAATGCAGCTATCCTGTGTTAAATGTGATCTAGAGGAAATGGATTTGATGTTAAATGAATGATCCAATAATTTGAGTTTAGAAATAAATTCCTCATCTCTCTCAAGCGCAAGAGAGAAAAAACTCTCAAATTGAAGGGTGTAGTAGAATATTTAAAAAATTATATTAAAATACTACAGCCGTGCAGCTATATTCTGCGAATATATTCGAATATTTTAACAGTAGAGCCAACCGGCTGTACCCTTCGAGTATATTCGGATACGTTAAGTATAGCCGTGCGGCTGTACTTTGAAAATACTATATTTAAATGGTATAGCCGCACGGACCTACCATTGAGTGACTTTTAAGTCTTTTGCTTTGAGTGACTGTCTCGCCATCCAAATCGCCAAGCAATTAATCAGTTGTTACGAAAATTCAAGAAAATGTCAACGACACCTCGGGTGACCGACCACCACCACCGACAGTCGACATCCACCTCTCCCTCCCTCAGCTCCTCTCACCACCGCCTCCAAGGGTCGAGTTCCGCCTCCTCCCTCAGCTCCTCGCTCTCTCTCCCACAACGAAGCTCCACCATCACCGGTCAGGTATGGGTCTGATTGGGACTTAGGGTTTGGGAATTAGCTCATCACATTTTTTATTGTTTTGCTTATATTGTTAGAATTGTGGGGAAAACAAAGTAGCTCTTGACTCCCTTAGTTTGGGAGTTCTTTTGTTTCACTCCTCCATATGACTTGGGTTGGGTAGCTTTTGTGCTCCCACATATATTGGGAGTTCTAGTAGTTGACTCCACTTTGCTTGGGAAGGCTACAAGTCATTTTATAGATGAGAGTAGCCGACATCACCAAGTCCACCGACTTGGCTTTTTATTTCCAGCCACATGTTTAGCCGACATAGTTGGTGAACTTCTCAATTTATTGCTGCATGCTTTGTTGGTTGTTCTGGAACTTTCTTCAAACTTTAGTTTTGTTAGCCAACATTCCTTTTCTTCAAGCTTCTA